TTTTCTCTTTTCCAGCAAAGTCCCCCCAAAACTGCCCTCAGTGCCCAGCCTTCGCTGCCCCCCGTAGAAAAGAAGAGAAAGACCTTAGGCAGTTTTTTTAAAGCAGCAAAGGGCAGTGAGGCAGCAGACCATCTGATGCTTCTTCTCAAGAGAATGATGTTGACATGGAGCTAGGCTCATATCTGCTCACAAGAAACATTAACAGCGAAGATGACCCCTTAGTTTGGTGGAAGGAACACAAGGGACAATATCCCAAACTGTCTGTGCTGGCAAGGAAATACCTCTGTGTCACTGCTACAAGTTCCCCATCAGAAAGGGTTTTCAGCACAGGGGGGAACATTGTAACATGCCTGCGTTCCTCCCTGAAACCTCGAAATGTTGATAGGTTAGTGTTCTTGGCCAAGAACCTTTAAGGTTTTGTGCCGATTGGAGCAAAAAGCACAGGTTCTATTTAGCTATTTTTATTTATTATTGTTAACGTTCTCTTATGTTCAAAAACATAAAGCTTTTAAGTTGTTCACTTTAAGGGGTCTAAAATAAAGAAAAGAGACCATTTTTTGTTACTCCAGCCCTTTATTATACTGAATGTCCTTTTTTGTTTTTTTTGTACTTGAGTGCAATAAATTTTGGTTGAAAAAATGTGAATCGTGATTCCCATGGGGAAAAATCGTGATTCACATTTTAGCAAGAATCGTGCAGCCCTAATTCATATATGAATTGATTTTTACATGCACCTTTAGTTTTCTCTTCCTCTTCTCTAAAGCAGCACAGCATGGCCTCGCTCCCTTTGTTGCATGTTCCCGAGGGCGGGGTTTGGCTGGGTTTGTGATGTCACGAACCCGGGCAGTAACTCGTTGTAGTCCCTACAAGCCGTTTTTGTAGGCATTAAACTGCCAGAATTTTAAAAGACGATACCTCCGTTTGCAATGAACTTTCAGCGCAGCAACTTTGCAGATACTGTTTATGCTCAAACAGCAACATTACACACTAAGGGTGTACTCACACTAGGCACGCTTGCCTTGAACCGAGCGCGATTATCCCCCTCCCCACTCCCCCGCTGGCCTGCACTCACACTTGCACTAAACATTCCGGACCGGAGCACGCTTACGTCATGTATGAGATAACGGAGAAAACCACTTTCGCTAATATTATGCTGAATAATTAATAATAATTCATTTATAATTTATGCCGTGCATTGATTTTCACTTGTATGTATCAGAAAATTATCATGGAGGCAGCTGACGTTAATTAAATAATTTGAAGCTTACTCGCAAACTACATTTCCTGTTCATCAATAAGTAAGAACCAGACCCATTATAAACCTAAATATACTTGATTAAATTAAATTAATTGAAAAGTGTAGTGTAGTAGTAGTAATAGAATATGTTTGTGGTCGTAATGATGACAGTAGAGCACAAAAAATAGTATCTGTTCCGTGCTCTGGCACGGTTAGCGCTCACACTGCATGCGTACCACGCCTGAGCCCAACCGAACCGTGCCCTGGCCCACTTCTTTCAACCGGGCCAGGGCCGGCTAAACGAACCGGGCCCCAGCGCGGCTTTGGGGGGT